TCTTTGTGACGGGTTGCATTCTTAGGAAATTTATATCAGTCACAATAGCGAAAGTAGCAGGAGACTTTTTCAAACTGACTGAGTATATCATAACTGTAGTGGTTTTTGGAGTAAAGACTGGAGTGAACGATCATAGCCGCCAGAAAAGATTGATAGAGTATGCAGTGGAAGTCAGTGAATTTCCAGTCCGTCTCACCAGGCAATTTTCACTTGCTCGAAGAAGGTAGGGTCTTAGAATCTGTACTTTCTTGTATCCGTAGAAAATAAGTGCCATGGTGAATGGAATTTGCTGAGTTCAATAGTTTTACTTAGACAATATCGTGCTGTGTGCACATTTTCAACTGAGGACAATTTGCAATAAAATGGCGTGCTGGCCACGAAGGCGACAGTTTTACTCGACTGTAATGCGCAAATGAGTGGCGTTGGAATATGTTTTCCATCAGTTTGGTATTCAGTTTTCAGAGTTAATCGAAACGTACGTAAGAGAATGCAGGCGGTAACGACTTGCACTGTGCATGTGGCTACAAGCCTAATTAATGCACTTCATACTTATGGTGTAGTTTCGGCCTGTATGCCTTTGCATGCAATTATTACTGGAGTGCAAACTAGGATCAGGTGATCCCGATTAGTATTGAATGCCCCTAGGGTTTAACTGGACATGGACGCTGGATGAAGTTCTACAAAGTGAAATTTGATTTGTCACGTATTGCCTCAAACTTGTTTGGCCAAATATGTTGCTGAGAGTGCGGGCAGGTTTGAGAATTTTCAATCGATACTTCACTCTGATACTTAGGCTAATCTATGCTTAAAATGTAAAGGAGCACAGCTTATTCCTACTTGTTGGAATTTGTCAACAGAATGTACTTCAACAATCCGCAACCTCCTGTTTACACTGATCGGCAGCCTGTGTGCTGCAATCCTAACGCATTAGGTAGAGCAGTTGCGTATTGTGATGACTAGCATAAAATAGTTGCAGTAACTAACTGGCAACACCCCAACTCAGCACCCGTGCACCAAACATTCCTCCTCCACTGCGTCAACTCTGGCCCGAGCACATTTTTTCAGAGCTTTTAATAAAAAAAAATTAAGACGCTCATTTCCAACATTCATTTTGTGTTTCTCTCGAAAATTGTTGATCTTGTTTTGCTTGTTTTTACAGTGCTCCGCGTTTTTGTTTACAAAGATATCACAGCCAACAACGGTGTGCGACAGTATCTTGTCTACATTTACGACGTGTACAAAGTGAGTCTGCAGACAAATAGCTTGCACATTCAAAAAAAGTGTCAACTGTTACTTTTTGGTTGATTAAACAGTCTTTCCGATGTCGTGTATCATCACTATCATGGAAATTGAAGGTTGCCATTTGCTAAAAGTGGTAGCTTGGAATTTCAGCATTAACCCAGCAACTTCCTTTAATGAGCCTGCATTTTTGTAAAATTCTCTGAAGCCAGATTAATACAGTAAATACAAATACAATACAAAGTAATACAATGAACAAATACAATAATTACATGGGATTTCGAGTGATAGTCAGAACAGCAGAAACCTTTGTTATGGTTCATCATCTGAACGTTCTTAACCTAGCTAAAATAGAATGGCCTGCTCCATCAGAATCTCATCGGGAACCGTTAAAAATAGCTTCACTCTAAAGGTGTTACCACTGGCCCTGAGGAAAAATCATTTGCCAGTTTAGTTATCATCCTGGTAGTTCTAATTGCAAGATTAGAGATATCAGAATTTCATCAATGTCCTAAGAGCACTGTCCTGAGAGCAGCAAGCAGGATCCCGTTTTCAAAATGTATTCTTTGACTGACTTTCGGAGGGAAGAAAACGCGAAAAACAACTTCAGACTTGATAAGGATAAGCGATCCTGTTATTCCTTGATTTCAAATGGATACTCCATTTTGCTGACATCCATACATGTGTTGCTTGCTTACATCGCATCACTCATGCTTACGTACACATGGGTGTTCGACCATCAAGGGGTTCTAAACAAGCAGTGGTTGACGATGTTGACGTATTTCAGCTTTGTCCAGCTTCGTTATGGTTCATATAATGGGAGGATAATCAAATATCAGGTGTTCACTACTCTTCCAGAAGTAACTTGCCAATTAGCTTACATAGTAGGTCGTTGGAAAACGGAGCAAATGAGTTTCGGAAACTTTTTGAACCACCACTAATTGAAACTGGCGCCAAAAATTTATCAAACAATTTTTGGGGCAGGTAACTTTCTTGATCCGTCGCCACCAACTATGGTGGCATAAACACGTGTCATGCAAGTAGAGTTATTGTCTAGCACGAGGTATTACGTTTTTCATCCAGAATTCTAATGGATGCCAGCCAAAAGGAAGTAGCGAAACACACCTTCTAGCATGGGGCCCACGTGACTTCCCTTGTATTTGCCTAGTGGCGACGCAATGTACAGAATCGGGGATATTCGTTCGGGTTTCCATGACCTGTCTGAATGAAAGTTGAATTTGTGTCCACCATGCATTTTCGACCATCATACAGCACTTTCCGAAAATAGTATGAGCATATTTTGCTCTCGTGAAGTATTGGCATAGTTTTCACGGAAGATTTTACTTTTGCGAGCCTACATAATATTTACTGGTGCAAAATTGGAAGCAAAGAACAGTCCTTATCCGGTTGCCCATTATTTGACATCAAAGCTTAGAACTTTTGAATAAATTAATCCATTTCATGTGTCTCATTAACATTTAAAACTTTAATTTTTCCCATTGCCATTTTTTTCAGGATAACAAACAGTTTTTTCATCCGACGCATTACAGTAGGATCATGTACAGGTGTGACCGTTTTCAAACCGGCCCTGATCTTGGACAGGTATATCTGATAACAGGTGAGTTTAAGTACGCTGAGACGCCCAGGATTTCCTCTTTTAGTTTGCGACTGTCTACGAATGACACTGCTAAAACAAGCATAATGTACTTCAGCAAATGTAAGATTTCCGTGCGAGGTATGTAATTTTTTCATTTTATCGGATGTCTGGTACGTTTTTGGGTGAAATTAAATAGCTCATGGGCATTTTGTACGACAGAAAAACTCAAGTTCTTTTATCCATTAGTACAGATAGCTGTGTCTCATTTATTGTTATTCGTGATTTCCTTCTTCTTTTTCCAACCGGTTCACATGAATCAAAATAATTTCCGAGGCATTTTAGGCAATCTACCTTATTAAAACAAAATGAGTTTCTCTAATATATACCTAGAACGAAATAATATATCCAATATTCTATATCAATATGCCTAAAATATATGGGTGTCCATTCATAAGCCCACCTTAGGTCTTAACGTCAAACAGTTTTTCAAATCCTTCCTTTGTATCAACATGGGGCAT